ATCTAAAGTGTATATTTAAGAAGAGAGGAGTAACAACTGTTTGCAGTCTCACTGTTTGAATGTCCACTTTGTATGCTTTGATCCTGTGACTTGAACAACTATCTCTAAGATGATAATATGTAATCTATTAACTGGTGATTTCTTACTGGTTTTTTTTTTTTTTTGTAGTTCTGTATTACTTGTACCCTTACATTGTTTTGTTTTTTTCTCTTTTTCTTTTTAAATAAATTTTTTTTAAAAAAAGGAATAGAGAGTAATAGCCAATTGTATTTCTAACAAATCACATGTCATTTCACCAAAAACAGTTGGCAGAAGGTACTTATATTAGTTCTGCCATGAGAAACAGGTGAAGCCCTAGTCCCTGGCTGACTCAGAAAAGAAGACTCTCTCAAGGATGTGTAAATTCCAAAATGTTATGACACCAATCTGCTTCTATTAATCTTTGAGTTCAAAACGGTGAATACACATGTTTTTATGACAGGTCGGAATAGTGTACTGAGAGAGCTCAGTTTTTAATATTTCACAGATATAAGAATAATGTTTTTGGCACTCAATAATAAAAATTCAAAAGTACAAAATCCTCCATAAGAAAATATTCTTTTTGTCCACCTTTCATACATATGGTCTTGTTTACAGCGGGCAGTAATATGATCTCAGAATCAACAGTAGAAATAAAAGTGAAATCAAAGTCACTTATATGGGGATGGAAAAAAAAACGAGAAAAATTACTGTTTTCCAGTCATTGCGTTATTATTCAAAGTGATATAGTTTTGTAAACCTGTGGTAAACATTAGAGGAAAAGTGGAAGATTTAAAATTTTCTTTAGTTCATTCAAAGTCTAATTTCATGTTAGACTTTAACAGTTTTGATAGTTCAAAACTGTACATATAGCTTCTTAATATTCAGTGACCAATTCATGAGCAAATTTACCCTAAAGTAGCCTAGCATCTGATGTTAGTATTTGCCTTTTCTTGGGAGAGGCAACAGCAAAGGGGCAGTACTGAGGAGTGCTAATTTCTGTATGAAATGCATAGTTATCTTCAGGCAGGCAGATTTAAAAGGCAAAATAAATCCCAAAGAGAATTACAGAGGGTGTGTATATGTGAAAAAGAAGATTTATGCATGAGAATGAGGGTGCAGGGGAGCATTAGTTGATTTCAGATCTCTGAGAAGTCCTTTGGAGTCTTCAGAACAACTTTGTCTATTCTCCAAGCAGAAAGGGAAATAGGTCTTTTAAAGATATTTTCATAGAGTAGGAAACTTTTATCATTTTCCCTATGTATTTTTTACAGAATGAGGAGCTGCTCCAGGATGAATCTCCTATACACACACATGCATACACAAACCACACACACACATACAGAGTTTTCCCACTTAGCTGGTTAAATTCCCTCTACCCTAGTTAGTGTAATTTCATCTTCTGTTAAGGATTTTAAGACAGGTTCTTAAATGCTAACTGGGAACCCTAAGGAGCAATAACCACATTGAACATGGAGTTGTTTTCCCCCTCAGTGCACCCACAAGATATTTAAATCCTTAAAAAAGAACTTTTGTGAATTTTAACCTCATGGTACTACAATGAATGGATAGGCACCTTAATAAATAAGACAATAACTTACTTAAAGATATATGATTTGTGATAAACAGCTTCTGTTATATAATTCAACTTGTGCAATGAATTGAATGGTCAGTTCATACTGGGATTTATTAAATTAAAGTGATCCCAACAAAAGCAATAGGTTTTTGTTGCCATAGCAAAAAATTTTAACTGTGCTTGTGTAGTGACCAGGGCATGTATTTTCTTAAATAATTGTCAAAATTACCCAATAGAATAAACATAGAAAATACAATTGATTTTGTTTACAAATGAGGGCATTGAGGCTTATTTAAATTGACTTTCCCAGAGCAATATACCTAGAACTGTAACCAAGCTCCCCTGATTCCTCTGAGTCTGTAATTACAGTCTATAAAGCTGCCTCATCTGCTCCTGAGAGAAAAGCATTCCTCTGATTTCCATGCCATGTGCTGATGCAAGCGTTGGCAACCAAAATATTGCTTAATGAATATGAGATAAAATATTTCAACTTTGTAAGTTGTCTTTTATGTTTTATTTGTTTCTATTCGATAACAAGTGAGATCATGTTTAGAAGGGAATGTACAGACACCATAAAAGGAACCCCAATGGTTCATATCTGACCAGGGTTTTAGTAGGCATGGCTGCTCTCCAGCAGATACTGACGGAGCATAGGTACTGATACAGTATACTTTCTGATATCTTTCTTTAAAAGCAGATTTGGCTTTTAGTCCTTATTGAACGTAGCACTATAATATATTTTCAGACCACTATTTTGTAACTTTGTTCCCAAAGTTTACAGATGCATAGAAATAAATAAGAAACAAGTTTTTCCCCCAGTAAAGTGTAAAAACTACCTTATATTTATAAATATATGACAGTTTCAAAGAAAGGAGATATTTATAAGATAGATATAAATATAAGATATTTCAAAGAAAGGAGATATTTTCTCTGAATTTGGAAAATATGTATTATTTATACATACAAATTGAAGATTTTATGTGATAACAACAGTACCTACTAAAAGACTCAGAGGTGAAAAACACTGTGTGAAATATTATTTTGATAGAGAGTCAAATAAAACACACATAGTTAAAGATGTGAATAAGAAAGGCATTTATCAGCCAGATGTGGTGGCACACTCCTGTAATCCCAGCCTCAAAAGCCTGAGGACCATTGTGAGTTCAAGGCTGGCCTCAACTTTACAGCAAGAACCTGTCTCAAAAAAAAAAAAAAAAAAAAAAAAAAAAAAGAAAGAAAGAAAAGAAAATACATTTATTCAGAAATACTTTTTGAAACTGTAAGCTATCTTTGAGAATGAGATTTTTAAATGGACAATTTTCTACTTAATATTGTACTTTTGAGGTGTTATCAATTCAATTCTGTCATGCTGCCAGTGAAATAATGGAATGAAGTGAAAAGGACTTAGAAAGAAAAAGATTCAAGTGTACACCATGACTTTGCCACTCCACTGTGAATTTAAACAAGCTACCCAACTTTCCATGAAACCATTTTCCATTTAATAAAAATTCACGTTAGTTTAATCATTGTGTGTAATCACTTTATATAAACCCTCTTGTGGTTATCAATAAATTAGGATGACATGACCTATTTAACAAAGGTACTATGAGAATCATATTAAATAATGTGTATAATTCACATTGCCAATACCTTACAATATTCACTATATGTAAGGTTTTTCACATCCCCGGGTTCCAACCACCTGTCTATGCTCCAGGACACGATAGGGTGAGATTTTTCTTTTGCTGTGCAACATCTGCCCCTCATTTTATATACCTGCATTTTTATCACTGTAAGATTACTTTGGTTTACAATGTACTTGAGTTCTCTCTGGCTCTTTCATTTGCTTTACCACATTTAAGCATTCTGTATTCTTAATATTCAGGAAAGCCTACTCAAGGAATCTATAGATGTGTGTCTAAGAGAAAAGCCAGTATCTCAGTCCCCTTTTCTCTTTTCTTGTGCCTGCCTCCAGCAGAGAGTACACGCATCAAGATCTACAAAGTTCTTGAGCTCCTTCTCCTAAAGATTGGCTTTTATTTCTTGTGAGAGCTTGTTTTATTTATGAATAATGCTTTATTAATAATAATTTTTAACAATTGGCTTGAATGCTCTTATTTTCAATCCCAGAGACAGCCACAGGAGATTAGCATTAGTTTTCAGGAGCTTACTCTAATGGCTGCTAAAAATGGGAAATGTGCAATCACAGAACTGTCCCAGAACTCAGAACTACGGGAGCAACTCTCTACCTCTCTCCACCATAAGACAATGAGCTTTTTACAAGTCCCTCCCCCAAAGCAGTTCACCCGAATCTGAGAAGCTTATTTCTTACTAATTTTTTCTTGTACAACTCAGGCAGAGAAAACCTAAAGCACCAACAATTTAATCTTAATTTTGAAGACTTGCTAAACAAATCACAGCACCATCTGATTGTGTCCTACTGACCAGTACAAAACCATAGAATGATTTTTAGTATTGAGCCACAACATTCTAGCTCCCTCACTACTGCACATTAGTGTAATCTATCCCACCTGTCAATGTTAGATCATCACAAATAAAGAATTATCTCCTACACACCTTCAACCTGTCTGAACACTAGCATATCTTTCAAGTGAGTTTTTCTAGAGAAATCTCTGGCCCTAAACTGTGACAAAAGCATTCATAGTTGTTATGGTTTGTGTCTGGATGCCCCCCCCAAAGCCTCATGTGGTTGGGGGGTGGGATGGATTTTCCCAGGTAGCTGAAACTAGAGTTTGTGATTGGTTCATTGTCTATTGGTGGAGTTGGGGTTGGGGTGGTGAATGTTTCACCCTCCATAAAGGATACTAGTCTATACACTAAACAGGAGGAGAAGAGGCTTGCTCATCTCCTTTTGTTTTTGCTGCTTTTGGTATCTTATGTCACCATGAACTGTTGCCCCTTTGCCATGTGCCACCCTGCCAGGGAGTCCGCCAATTATGGATTGAAACCTTTACAGACTGTGAGCTAAATAACCTTTTTTCATTCTTAATTTTGGGCATCAGATATTTTGTCTCAGCAATGACAGAGAACTGAGGCAATAGCCACAGTGAATTTCTTTGTCAAAGAATTGCCCAGTGTGTGGCACAAACTTCCACACTTTCATTCATTTAGTAAGTATTTACAGCATAACTACTCTGAGTCAGGTACTATTTTAAGATATAACAATAAGGAAAAATCATAAGACCATCTTCTGTTGTTGGCATTTATAGTTTGGCTACACAGAGAGAGAGAGACAGAGAGAGAGAAAGAGAAAGAAAGAAAGAAAGAAAGAAAGAAAGAAAGAAAGAAAGAAAGAAAGAAAGAAAGAAAGATCAAAATCAATTGTTAGACTGGAAAAAGAATAAAGAAAAAATAAAACAATGAATGGAAATAAGAAGTGTAAAGGATTCTTATCTGACAGCGGAGACACCATTATCACAAAGGTGATTCCCCAGGGTTAGGCTTGTCCATTGTGCTCCGGATGGGCTGACCCCTACTATTTCCCCAAATGTGGGAAACTCAACAACATAATTTATGGTAGTAGGGGACTGCATTCTTGCTTTCCCCCTTTAAAAGTAAATAAATAAAAATAAAGTGTTAAAGAGTGAGATGGACATTGCAATGTATATATGAAGGTCATGGAAAGTCTAAAAGAGAAAAACATCTGAGTGAGCTCATAAAGATATGGGGAAGTGAGCTGCACAGACATCCAGGGGAAGAACCATACGGGCAGAGTGATTGGACAGTTCAAAGGACCCGAGGCAAAGTTATGCTGGTAAATTTGAGAAACAGGAGAACTGTGAAGATTGGGAAGAATGAGTGAGCTGTAAGGCAAAAGTAAGTGAATGAGGTTAGGATTTGAGCTCAGAGTCAGACCATGTAAAGCTTTGAAAAGCACCAAAAGGATTTTGAATTTATCTCTCAGTGAGAAGGGAGCCATTGAAAAGTTGTGAGCAATGGAATGATACTATCTGTCTCGAATTTTAAGGAACTCATTCCTTTACTCCTGGGTCATATAACACTTACTGAGCACATACTTAGCACCATGATTGACACTAAGTGTGAGGGACACAAAATTGAACCAAAATTGGCCCTTTCTGTAATTCACAATGTCTGCAATGACTATTTATACAATTTGCTATGAAAATGAGTCTTATTTAAGTTCATCCATGTACAAACTCCATGGGTAGTGACTGAGGCTAACTTTATTCCCCTGCTGATTGAAAGCACTGTTCCTATATTTTGCCTTCTGTGTGCTTGGTGACAAAACCTGTTTTTCACAATTTCATCCATTACCTCCCCTAATCTGAGTAATAACTCCTTTCTTATAGTTGAACTAAGGATAGTATATATTCAGCTAAAAATATCCCATAGCAAGACATATTTCACTAGATTTCCAAAAGTTATTTATTTATTTACTTTGCTGTAAAGAAAAATGTAAATTACCCAAAGGAGTCATCACCATTTGCAACTATAAGTTGCTTTATAAAGGAAGGAACACTAAAATCACCCCTCTCTCCACAGCCCTCTTCAAATTGCCAGCTATATTCTTGTATGTGAGTTCTGAGGCACAATGAATACTCCAGAGTCAATCTGGGGGTAAATTATCTGGTACAATAATTCAAAATCAGCTTCCCTAGTAATTTTCATAACACAGTCACATCTTAACTGTTGCCATGTCAGTAGTTTACACAGTGCTGTTGCCAGAAAAGAATCAGTCAGTTTTTCACCCTTTGTGAAGCAGCAAGCTTTCACTATATAACATGCCACTACAAAGTCACCCTAGGACACAGTAATCAATGGGACTGTGCTCAAATTCTTACCTCTTGCTCAAATTTGGCAGATCAGCTTTGTGCTCTGCTTCAGGGTATAGGCTGAGTTTTAGCAGTCACTACAGACTCAGACTGAAGAACCATATTCTTCTCATTGTAGAGGTCAGAAACTCATAGAATACAGTGAGGTAAATAGTGGGCACCAAAATGACTTGTCTATTTCTAACTCCCAAAACCTGTAAAGGTGACTTTATTTGGATAAAAGACCTGCTATGGATTGAATATCTGTATTTCCCAAAATTCAGATGTAGCTCCCAATATAATGGTACTTGAAGGTAGAGTCATTGAGATACAGTTTGGTTTAAATGAGAGTGAAGTTCCAATGATGATATTAGTGTCCCAGTAAAAGGACAGATCAGAACCTTTTCTTTGTCCACCATGTGAGTGACCGAAGAAGGTGGCCATCTATGAATTAAGAAAAGGGCCTTCATCAGACTTAGAATCTGCTAGAATCTTGATCTTGGACCTCTTGAGCTCTGGAACTATGCAAAATAAATGTGTGAGTACCCAGTGTATAGTATTTTATTATAAAAGCCCAAGTTGACTAAGACAAAGCTTTTGCAGATGAAATTATTTTTAGGATATAAAAATGAGATAGTCAATCCAGATGGGCCATAAATCCAGTGACCAAGGGTCCTAATAAAACACAAAAGACTGAGGGAGTAGAGTTGTCACTCTTTTCATCTTGCTTTTTTTCACCTATATCTTTTCTAAGAGAAAACTGTGTGCTGTGTGTTCTGAGTGACATCACATTTTCATCTAATCACAGTGGGGTTGGAATGATCTTGGTGAAATACTTGAAGTGGATATATTCTGTTGATGGTTTTCCCCATGAACAGTCTCCTAATAGATTATTTTGAGTGTACAATTATCTCCATCCTTTTTTGTCACAAAAAAATGTTCCTTTGATCTCCAGCACATGTTACAGCAATATGCAAATGATTCTCAGAGAAAATGATGTTGACAATATGTCCTTAACAACTTACATAAAACTATGAGTAATTTTCATAATTCTAACTTTTGACTTTTTTCTCTCCATAAGTAAAATAATGCCTGATGCTTAAAGTTAAATTTAAAAAAAAAAAAAAAACAGAAGAGAAGGTGGCATGAGGGAGAAGGCCACATGAATAAGAAAACAGAAATTGATGTTGAGCAACCCCACGCCAAGGGATATCAGAGCCACAGGAAGGTGGAAGAGAAAAGGAGTGACTCACTCTTTGAGAACTTGAGGGAATACAGTCTGTTGGCACTTTGATTTTAGATTCCTGACCTACAGAAAAATTAGAAAGTTTCTGTGCTTGGAAAGAAAGATCAAGCCTATATAATTTATGATAGCAAGCACAGAAAACTAACACACCGATAAATGAGTAGAAATGTAAAAACAGTTACCAAAAACATGGAGTTTCCATTCCCCATGAGTGAAAACAAATCACTAAACCATCGCCAGTCTTCCCCTGTGAAGGTTAGGGGGCGCGGGGAGCAAGTGATTCTCTCTTGAGTAATAATCTACCATTGATTATTTTGCCTCACTGCATTTTTAAAGTAGATCTTTTTTCAAATCCAAGATTCCAGGATACAAGTCATAACCCAGGGTTTCCTAGACAGAGCAAAATGTGTGCCAATATAAAAAAAAAAAAATGACTATGCACCTGGGCATAGTGCTACAGCTCTGTAGTACAGAAAGACAGGAAAATCACAAATCTAAACCCACCCTAGGCATGGGAATGTAGCTCAGAGTGAAGGCCCTGGGGCTCATTCCTCAGTAGAAAAAAAAATAAATAAACCTATGAATTAATGACAGAAAATACAGGCCTTCTGAGCCGGGTTCCCAGGGAGGAAATTACAAGGATCTATAAGGCATAGTTAGCCTCCCATCACTGCATAAGTCTCCAACACTTAAGATACAGAAGATACTTCATAAAATTTGTCTCAGTTGCTACCTGAAGGGTAAACCCTATAGCCTAAAGGTCTTTAAACTTGTTAAGTTGGTGAGCTGGAAACAGATACACAGGAAGACTTATATTTTAATAGCTTTCTTTTCCATCCATCCTTTTAAAAGTGGAGCTTGTACCACCTGTCTCAGAATTCCTCAGCATACCTGTTTTTAAAAAAGCAGATTTATGAGTCTCACTACTCACATGCTGATTCAGAATCTCTGGACATTTTAACACACAGCACAGAGAATTTTGACACACACCAAAATTCAAGCTCCCCTGTTGCTTCTCAGATTTTTTATAGTAACTTGTTCCTATTCCCAACACCTACTGTGCGGAGAGGGTGGCTCATTGTTCTAAGCCTTCATGTTGGAAATCCTTTTGAACTCTAGTATTTTCTCGCTGAGGTTTGCAAACATTTGTCTCTTTAATCTGCAATGTATTTGCTCCAATGAAGACAAGTATTTTTCCTACTCTCTGAGTTAAATTGAGAAACATCTTTGTTGAGTCACTGGATTTCTGCATCAATTTTCATATCCTTCTTTAAGGTCCACCTAGATGTTCACCTAAATGCCAGACTCTGGTGGCAAACAGGGGAGGACAGTAGCAGAATTCACTGGGCTTTCATTTCCAAAAAAAACTAGATATTCTTATGCCAAAAAAAAAAAAAAAAAAAAAATTGGCATTTAATTTAAAGGGACTCACAAATCCTGAAAAGACTTTTGTGGGCCCCAGGTAAGAAGCCCCAGCAGAAGCTTTATAGCAGTATGGACAGATGATGCATTTCTATAATGAAAACAATAAAGTGACAACAACCATTACCAAGCACTCACCACATGCTGGGCACTGAGCTAACTGTTTTACTTGCCTTATTTCATATCACCCTTACACTTCCCTGGGGACTGGATAGTGTTCTTATCTCTATTTTGCAGTTGAGAAACAGGCCTTTGAGAGATTATATAGGAAACCCAGTTCAATAATCTCAGGCCTCATTCTCCCCGCACACACACTGATTTTGCTCAGATGTCCCAGAATTCCCCTCGCTAAGGACCATGGTAAAATTACCTAGTCTATTGTCAAACTATGCAAATCACGTTAATTTTCTCTGTGGCAGGAGGATACCCCTGGGAAATGCTGAGTAGCCTTGAATACTATTTGGCTTGGCTCTTGACACAGCCTTCCAGAAGTTGCTGTGTCTTACCTGTACATTTCCTATTCTTTCATTTCCTTGTTTACAACTTACTTACTCATTTTGTTATACAACTTGAGTCTTTGATACCCAGTAAAAGAGATCAATGTTACATGTTGATGGTAAAAAGAACAATAAAGAAATTAGGCAAATTGAAGAAAAAGGGATTGAGGTCTTATTTGAAATAGGGCAAAGTTCTTTTGATAAAGTGACCTTTGAGCAGAGAAGTGATAATGCCAAGAGGATAAGCCAGGATGCAATTTCTATCCAGAGTGAAGAACCACCGAAAACAAAAGGCAGGCAAATCAGCGTGAAGGTCCCAGGTGGAGTGAAAAATGAGAGTGTTGGTGTAGATGGGATGTGAGAAGATAGAGAAGCTAAGGACCAGCCATACAGGATCTTGTATATAGCAAGGCAAGGAGTCTAGATTTCACCCCTGTGGATGGTAGAAGCATGGAAAGGTATGATACAGTGAATCCCTGACAAGAACACTGACAGCATCTCACTGAGTGTGCACTACAAACAAGTGCATGCGGCAAAAGCATGAAAGCCAGTATAAACAGTACCAGGAAGTAAGATCTTGTGATCCTTTAGCTTTCTCAGGAAAATGTGTT